AGTGTCCTACAAGAGTGTCCCACAAGAGCTTCCTACAACAGTGTCCCACAAGAGTGCCCCACAAGAGTGTCCCACAAGAGTGTCCTACAGGAGTATCCCACAAGAGTGTCCTACAAGAGTGTCCCACAAGAGTTTGCTACTAGAGTGTCCCACAAGAGTGTCCTACAAGAGTGTCATTTGGACATACGTAGCTTTTTGAACGTGTTTGCATTCGGGTTCGTGGGCTCCATCTTGTTTTTTTATCCCAGCCTAACTTAGTCAGGATGGGCAAAACAATATATTTTAGATGTCTGATGAATCTTTCCAGCGATGTCTAGAATCAAAGTGACAACATATGAGTAGGAAACACACGTGGTAGGAATAAATATGGGAAATCTCGCGTGCATATACTGGTATTCATCAAGGGTGCCCTTTATCTCCTTATTTTTTCTGTTTGGTCATGGGCGCGCTGTTTGCTGATCTGAAGCAAGAGTTAACCCCCCCAAGACAACAGCAACCTATTGACGGGATTCACTTTTCTGAAATTCTCTACTACGCTGATAATACCCTTATATTTGGGACCAATACTCATTGTACTAATGTTTTGTTACACGCTTTTGAACGGCACTCCTCCTATTTCCGTCTTAAGCTTATATAACTATGAGAAATGCATTAATCTGACCTCCAACCAACGACAATCCTCAGTGCATTTTGCACCTAACGGCCCTGCGCAGGGTGCTAAGGTTCCGCAGAAAAGCACGTTGGTACCATGCTGTCAGATACTTTTGACAACAAGGCAGATGCCTCAAATAGGCCAAGCGATTGTATTGCCACATGCAATCGGCTTAAACTTTTCTGGAATAAAGCGAAAACTAGCACTAAATGGAAGATACAGGTGTTCAACGTCATTGTCAGGTCCAAGCTCTTGTATGGTCTTGAATGCATCCAACTAACCTCGGCTGATATTTCGCGGCTATATATATAAAGGCTTTTCAACACACATACCTGAGAAGGATTTGGGGGCCAACATTTATTGACAGAGAACACACCAATGCACGAACGTACGCCTGCATCCAACAGCAACATGGCTGTACCTTTGAATCTTTTGGAGATACGACTGGCAAAAAAAAAGTGTCGTCTTCTCGGCCACATTCTCCGGCAATGCCAATTTCGGATCCGATGGTATCATTCTTAGAGCGGGTATGACCCCCCAAACCCCGGCTTAGACCAGGTAGACCTAGAGCTGATTGGGTCGTTCAAACATATAGGGATGCCACTCGTTTACTCTTCGGTCCGATTTGGCCTTTGATTTTTGAATCGTCAACTTCTGAACAGTATTAAGCAGGCCGCTTTAAATCATCTTGGACCATTTTGCACTCGTGTGTAATTTTCTTTAGGGACGACTGTGTCCCAAAGGACTTTTGGCCTCTCGAGGTACTGCTCTTGGTACTGTGATTGTCTGTGCTGGTTGATTTGTTGTTTATGGAAGTAGCAGGTTTTTTTGTTTCTGTGATTGTCTCTGCAAGCACTCACCACGATTTGTACTTATTTACGCATCCTCTCTTTTCCTTTTGAGCTGTTGGGAGCCCATTTGTGCTCACGGGAAGAAAGATGGACAATGGCTTGAAGTTCTGCACAATTTACGGATTGCTCCCGTGCGGCAAAAGCTGTTTGGGTTGCGGCAATATCATTTCAGGCATGGATCGGTGGATTCTGGATTGGTACATTGTGCAATGGCCCAGGCTGCCGTACACAAACATTGTGTTAAGGGAGTATTGCATGATCCGTTTGTATAGCAGTAGAGCTTGCCTTGAATCTGGGTTTTTGGGGCTGTCCACTTCCATGTTTTGTTGCAGGGAGGATATATGCAGTGTTTATTTTTCCCCAAACAGTTTTCTGCTGGGTCTTTTCTTAGAGGAAAAATGAAAAATGACACGGGCCACAGTTTGTGGCCGCGCTTGCGAATCCTGCGTCCTCTTGTCCTCCTAGCTGTCCTCTGACATGGTGTGTCCCCCCCTTGTTCCCCAAACAGTTTCGTGGCCTCGTCTGGTCCTTTGTCCGGGCCTTGTCCAGGCCGGTTGCCGTGGGCCGGGTGCTTCTCCGCAACCCGTGACGCCGCTTTCCCTTTGTCCAGGTATGTTTTCGTGTGGCTATGAATGCAGCAGTGATGCAGGGTTTGATATATGTCATCCTCGGATTTTCTCATGACATATCAATATATCCCAAGGTGTTTGCACATGTGACCTCGGGAATCAGGAACTATTGCTTTGTAACATTGTTCCCCAACAGCGAAGCTAGGGGTCTTCTGCCATAGTAAAGGCTTCGGAGCAGATTCGGAGCAGGCCGGAGGAGGGATCGGAGTATCGGTTCCGGAGCAGGTTCCGGAGTATAGGTTCCGGAGTAAGCAGGTTCCGGAGCAGGTTCCGGAGGAGGTTCCGGAGGAGGTTCCGGAGGAGGTCCCGGAGGAGGTTCCGGAAAAGGGTCCGGAGCAGGTTCCGGAGTAGGTTCCGCCGCCAAGCCCACTGAGCATTGCGTGAGAGAAAAAATGTGGCTGTGAACTTGGCCTTGATCTGTTAAGGCTTTTTCTTGCGCTTATTGTGGTTTACATGACACTCCCAATACAGATGTTATCACCAACATTGGAATTCAAGGGGCTGATGCCAAAAATGCTGAAGCTGCTTGGGGCCTATGCTGGCAATATTTCTCGAACGCCGCCCGCCCTGACTCGCAGGGCAATCGCTCGGGACGTCGCAAAGAAGCAGCCGAGCTATTGTCCCGGAAGCTTTTGCAATCAGGTTTTTGACACAAGCAAAGTCGAGCAAACAAAGCACCGGTTGTTTTTCTTTTCGAGGGCAGATGATGCATGACTCCAAGGTCCCAGGCAACAAACTCGCGGGTGTGTTCTTTGCTCAGAATGCTTTAGCAAAAAGACTCGGCACGACGTCAGATATTTCTTTATTACTTAATGCATGGAAACCAAAGGCACTTATCAGTTTATGCGAGCATAGACCCCAAACAGCTTCAGTAATTTTTGGGTGTCAACTCCTTGACTTCCAATGTTGGTGGGAGTTCCTGATTCTCGAGGTCACATGTGCAAAAAGAAGGGGGGGATATGTGTCGGCCCCGCTGATCGTTCCAAGATACGCCAAATAAGCAAGTACGTATTTCATGAAAGGCCCCGATTCATCTTGATTAACATATTAAGTTAAGTGGTCGGACGCCAAACTATGCATGATACCGACGATACCCAAGCACCACTTGACTCTCACATAATGTCGACGTAGGTAGGATCAATCAACCGGCCCCCCCCTTCAAGGTCAACAAGGTCTGAAATTGGAGGTATTGGAGGCTGATGATGGATGATGGTTGATGTGATTCTGTGCGAACACTGAGGTTTGTGAGAGGGGTACCCTTTGTGAGCTAGAAACCGTTAAGATTTTGATAGAGTTTTAATATATATATATATAAGGGATTATAAGGGAAAATGAAAACATTTTGCTAGAGAGGTTTTTAGGGACCAGAAAATATTGGATACTAGCCAAAAAGAAAGTAAACACGAAATAATTATAGTAAACTATATTTTGTTCTGGGGCAGCTGGGTTTGATTAATAGGGGGAGGTTTCTGCCCAGGGAAAAATATTAGGGGGGTGCCAAGGTGGAAATCTAGGTTTTAAATTAGTTTAGTATTCGGGGGGTCGAGCTGGGATTGATTAATACGGGGTGGTTACTTAATCCTATGTCAACATTACAATATACAAGAGGCTCAGTTCGCAAACAAATCAATGGCAGGTCCTTCGGTTGATGGAGCAGCACCTGGCCATTTTGCCAAATGAGACGAACGGCTTGTTTCCTTCCTGGATTCCTTCCTGGAAGTCCCTTGAACGAATTGAATGTAGACTGCTGTAAGACAAGAGGATGTGAACTTGTCCCGAGTTTGTGCTCATGTTCGGTTCACACCTAAAAATGTTGGAACATGCTGGTTGTTCTGGATGATGCAAGATGGCACACCCAGTGAGGTGGAAAACAACTCCATGGCCATGAAGTCTGATGATGTTGTTTGTTTTCCTTTCTTTAATCGAGAAGGATTGTTAAACAAACATGGCACATATGTTTAACGCATCTGCTTTCGCACATTTCTGAAAACTGGCCAGTTTGAAGAACATGCTGGCCCATTGCAAACAATTTGTCCGAGTGACTGCCCTGATCATTTATGGATCTGGATGAATCAGACTGATTTACCTTACACAACACAAACGTCTCCATGCGCTCTGTGGGACATGGTGACGCATAGAGGTGGAAGCAACTGCAGCGCAAATTGAGCCTGATGAGCCGCTCGGACGGTTGTTCATCACCGCGGAGGAACATGTGGTGTAGCTCAAATAGGGAGACTTCCCAGGCGTTCCAACCCCCTGATAAGGGAAATTGATGGCCTTTCGACAGGGTCTGGCTCCATCCGGGTCCCATCTGAGTCCCATCTGGGTCCCATTTGGGCTTCTCTTCGCCAAGCCTCGGATGGGAGGCTTTCCCAACTTCGCGCAGCTGAGGCTTCTCGCGCTTGGTCAACCTTTGTCCTTGTCGCAACTTGCCAGACATCCAAAATGCAATGGAAGTGCTGAAGCGGAGTTACAGCGGTTATTGAGAACAGTCGACCCGAATGTGCCGCATTCCTAGTTCTGTTTGAAGGATGGGTGCTTGAAGAATGTCAGTTTTCCTTCACAGTTGTTTGAGGAAAGGTAGGGGCACACGGCACATTGTTTTATGCTTTTGTATGTAGACTCCTTTAAAGATCTATTTTGCAATCGGATAGGCCTAAGAAAAGACAGGACCATGAACCATTTGTGATGTTTTTTTGGGCGACAGAAGGCACAGTGACAACGGGTGATGACATACATGTATCAAGCGCAAACCAAGCACTTTGCCCTGTCAACTTAGCCGTCAATAGGTTGGTTGAAGGGGGCAGGTGTGAGGTATGCGTTGGTTGAGCAAGCTCCTGCTGAAGCTTGCGTGCGGGGCGCTCCTCCCACAGAGTGTCAAGGCTTTTGTTGTTTTTGGTTGCTTTGCTTCATTTTGCCTATGTCCTTGATTCAGAACAGATCAGAATGTGAACCCCAAGCCCAAGTTTCCCGGATTCATTTGCCAATCTAAAATGTCTGTCTCGTTTTGGAGACCAGATTTTGGCTTTATTTGACAATATTTGACAAAGTCTGGTCTATTCAAGGGAGCACCCCAGTGAAGCAGTGCATATCCTGATGCGATGGTCTGTGTGGATTCGTCCAGACCAAAAACATTCCCGCATTGTGTTGGATCTTGCACGAAGCTTGTATATTTTAGATGTTTGGCCAACGCCAGGTGGCATGGCAAAATTGCCACAATCTGCAAACAGGTTGTAATTGGCTTTTGTAAGAACTTGGAAGACACTTGAACATGCACAACAAATGAGGTGTCTTAAGTCTTATTATTCCATTCTTCCATGCATTTCTATTCGTATGTTCAAAGCACTTGTTTTCCTACTTGAAAGGGGTGGCGGCTGAAGACCACCTATATAATCTGCACAAACAAGCTGTTTGCACATCAAATCAACACGGCAAGAGCGCAGCAAAAGAGTGTTTGCTTTTTTAGCAGCCTCTTGCTGCATCTCTAGCTTCAAGCATGGGGTCGCCTGGCGGCTTGGGACGTCCCACTTCTGAGGCAGCTGGTTTGAAATTACTGGTTTACCAGCAAAAGGTATTTGTCGCCATCATCCTGACTGGAAGTTGGGGTTTACGGTTTATGTTCATTCTAGAGGATTCTCTCATATTCTGGCACGTTTCCCACAAAGCGACTTGGCCGACAGACTTTATTAGTGGTCTCCGCTTAGCTCTGCTTTTTCTTTTGATCTGTCCTTTCGATTTGTTCGTCCATCATGGGTTCGTACATGACTTAACTGCACTGTAACATGTCGAGGGGCAACAGTTTGAGGATCTTATTTACCGTAGACTCGATGACATATTTCAAATGCCATATGAGGTTTTGCAATCCGTGGTTTGCTTCATGTAAGGATTCTACCCTTGGCTTTCACCACAGCTTTTTCCGAAAGCAGCGGTCGACCCGCTCGATCCGTTGATGTGGGGCTTTCAGTGCGAACGACGACCCAAGCCCCAACGGCTGTAAGGTCACCAGGGCGTTGGCTGTTCGCTTGTAGTTGTGTATCATCTCAACCAACAAGTACATCTATACTTATATATCCTCTACTTTGAACAATGAGATGCTGAAAAAGTAGGGTGTGTCGGTGTGTCCCAGTAAACTAGTAACAGGAAGTGGGTAAAAGATGATGGCTATTTGGGGAAAGGTTTGGGACCTAACCATCATGATGCACTATTACTGCTCATGACATGGGGATACACCCAAACTTTAGCATCTATTGGGCGGCGAAGAGGTCTGAGTTAGCTGAGCAGCTAGCAGGCTCCAGCTAGCAGGCTCCAGCTAGAATCAGTCCCCTGCTGATTCTGGGAAGGATGTGACCAGATGTGACCATTTGTGACCCACCAAGACGCAGCCGATCCAAATCCGTGGAGGGGTCTCGGGTTTCTGACCTAGGTTCCCTTAGGTTTGGAGGGATCGGAAGGCTTGGGCTGTTTTCATGGAGCGTTTCGGCAAAATCCCAAAACCCCTGTCTTCTTCCCAGATTGCAGTCTGCCTGAATGATCTTAATGTTTGGCGCAATCTCTTCGTTCTTCGTCGCTTGCAGGAAGAGGGCGGCATCGACGTCTCAGTGTTTCTGTTGCATTGCAACTCAAACAACTCGGCAGTTTGTGTCTGTCAGATTCCATGCCTGGCATCTCTTGGTTGCAAACTGTGCACTGCCGCACTGCCTGTGAGAGACAAGTTCAGTCCAGTCCAGCAAGCAATTTTTTTCGAATTTGCACACCTGCAAAGCTAGGTGCAGCTCCTGAGCGAGAATTTCTTTGTTCACATCAGAATCAGTTCCAGCTCCCTGTGGGATTCGTGCCCAGTTGAGCTACTGTGATGAATCTGATGAGCCCGTGACCTTTGTGCTCTCACTGCCATAGGCTTGAGGCTTTGGAGAGCATACAGGTTTTCGGTGCTTAACAGGTGAGAACCATACGACAGTAGGCCGGGCAGTGAGCATCCTTGGGACCAGCATATGAGGCGAGTACCTGAGAACCTGATTTGGATCAGACAGACGAAACGATCATGAATTGAATGCTTGATACTAATAAAATATAAAAATAGTATCATATCATATGAGAATATATTATATATAATATATCCAGTGATTTTGTGTCCAGATGGGATGCCAGACTTCATGCCACCGCTGGTATGTTCCCAAAGTCGGGCGAAAAGAGAAACTCAGTTGTGCTGCATATATGCTGGTGAAGTTGGAGAAAGAAGCAACGTTCGTATGTGGGTACGAAGGAACTCCCAACAGCCTCCAACAGAGATTTCTGTGAGAGGTCATGGTAAGCCTTCATGTCTTTCTTCACTCGGACCCTCTCCACGGCCTAGTTTAGAGCTCCTTTTTTCCACCAACAAAAACGGATCGGTCAACATCGCCGTAGCTGCCGGGGCTCCCGGTGTTGTTGCAGTTGCCCCCAACGACCACCGATAGATCTGTGGGACCGAAGAGTCGGTGGACTCTGGTCTCGTTGGCGAAACGACGAAGAGGTCCACCCATCCGAACGGAGAACACTTGTGGGTTCTGGATCGTTTCCTTTCATCTTGACACCATCAACTCTTAGTTCAAGAAGGTCAAACGGTGGTGTTCATAACGGCCAACGCTGAACCATGGCCAGCGTTCTCGTCGACGTTTCTGGGTGTTTTTCCCGGAATTCCACGCAGGCGGGTGATATGGCGATGGCCATGGCCACGGCGCTCAAAGGTGCTGGCTCAGTCACCAAGGTGAGTGGCCAAGCTGATGTCAGGTTGTTTTGACAGCTTCGTCCGATGGTCAGATTTCGGTCTGTCACTGGTTCGCTCGGGGAATGACACATTGGAGAATGGATTTTCCAGAATTGGCTCGTAGACGACCTCAAAACCCCAGGGCCCCAAAGGCCGAGCCGATGGCAGGACGAGTTGGCCAAGGCCAAGGCCATGCTGAAAGGGAAGATGCTCCGTCAGGCCTTGTGCAACACATCCCGTCCATGTCATGTGGGTCTTCGGGCACGGGTGCACGATGGTCATGGGGCTAAAACTCCAGCGGCTCAGCTGGTCCAAGGGAGAAAACATAAACACAAGCTGTGAATGAAGAAGTGAGTAAGTAGACTACAGATTACTTTCAATATAGTAAGATTACTGGAGTAGTTCAATGATCAGATTGTCTCAGACGAAAGGACCGGTTAGTTCAGGGCGTGCAACGCTTTCTTCGAGCGGATCTGGAAAGGCGAGATTAGATACCAATGGAAAATGCAAGATCCTCGGTGGGTATCCTTGGCATCAGTCAAGGTCTGCAAGAGGAGAAGATTCAGCATCCAGCATGGGTGCCAGAGGATATGAACTTGCAGACTCTTTATCAAAGAGCCCAGAAGCATGGAAAACGTTCATGCTATATCTTCAGAGAAAGTCATGGGTGTTGAAATTTAATGACTCCTTCATCTCTGCAAGAAAGCAAAAGTTGTGAAGGCAACGGCAACAAGAGATTGGTGCAGGATTTCCAGAAGAGTGGTTTGAAGATCCACTCTGTGAGTTTTCGGCACGAAACCTTCGAGACGATCGATCGATGCTGAT